TAGACACCACCTGGCTGTCACAGTGGGCCTAAGGAGGTCTCTCCACGTTAAACTGGAGCCTGTGGCTGGCCCTGGAGAGAGTCAGGGATTGGCCACCCCGTTCCTCACCTACCTGTGAAGAGGCCCCAGCCCTTCTCCCAGCTGCCCCATCTCTCAGCCCAGTCCTAGCGCATCAGTGCACACAGCCTCAGACATCATGTCCAACCTCCCATCTATTTTACAGATGGGGAAATTGAGGCCCCCAGCAGGAAGGAGAGCCAAGGTTAGAGCCAAGCCTCCTTCATTTGGCAAAACTGTAGGGCACACCTACTGCAGGCTGGGTCTGAGGCAGATCCCAGGGCACCCGCCTTGGGGAGCTGCCCATTGGGTGGTGGGCAATCCTCAGCATCTATAGAGATGAGGGCCATGGGGTACAGGAGCACCAAAGGATGTGTGTGAGGAGAAGCCTTCCTGGAAGATGGGACCCTTGCGTTAGTCATGGAAGGTCCCTACGAGTGTGCCAGGAGGAAGTGGTGGGAGGGCAGCTCCCGTGGGGACAAAGGCCTAGAGGTGGGAAGGTGTGTGGGTTCTGCTTCCAAAGCTGCTCTCGCCATGCCACAGGGCTTCCCTAACTTCTGAAAACTCAGACCATCTCCCAGACCTCCTCCCCTCTCCCAGAGGAAGGACCAAGGACCAAATCCCAGGCGCTCAGCTCCTTGTCAGGTGTCCCTCGACTCCCCTCTCAGGAGGATTGGGAGGGGAGCCAGAAGGGACACACTGTGGCCTTGGATCTGTGCTCTGCCCCCCTCAGCTGGCTCTGTCTCCAGCAGCCCAGGGAGGAAGTACCAGGCACCTGGCAGTGTGGCCAGGAGGAGGGGAGTAGAGGAGATGGAGCCTTCCCCATTGGCCCATCATGCACAGCAGGTGCTAACAAAAGACACAGATGGGGCTCATGTTTAGATTATAATCAATAATGATGATAATAGTAACAGCTGTCACACATCCAGTCCACCTGGGCTGGGAAATTTACATCCATCATCTCCAGTCCTTGCAACAAGCTTTCTAGGTGGGTAATAATGTGCCCGCTTCACAGATGAAGAAACACAGGTTCAGAGGGCTCGTGTGACTCCCCCGGGACATAGGGATAGTAGTGGTGAGGCCAGGGGTCCGCCCTAGGTCAGGCCTCTAAAGCGCCAGCTCTTTGGGCTCCATTGGCAAAGGTTCCCTGACCCCTCTGCTTTGCTAGGCACTGAGTGGGGCCCGGGGGAAACCAAGGCCCTGAATTTGATCATGTCAGAACAGCATCTCATGACTGATTCACAGTGACCAGACCTGCAGGAGCCCTGGGTCGAAAACACACCAACCTAGTGACCATAATAATCCAACATTTACTGTGAAAACCACTTTCCACTCTTGGTCACATTGAACACTCTGCAAGGGTATGACAACAGGAGTGTCATCCCCACATTCCAGATGAGGCTTAAAGGTTCTGGGACTTGCCCAAGGCCACATAACTGGGACATGGTAGGGCCAGGACTTGGCCTGAGCTGATGTTGGAACCTGAGCTTTGAGCTACCCTCCTCCTATGCTCCCTGTTTTAGGGCATGAAATGTTCCTTGACTGTGATTGCAGATACCTGTCTGCCCCAAGGGCCCCAAATCTCAGCCCAGAGGTGCATGAGACACAGGGTCAGAGCGCTAGACAGTTATGAGTATGAGGGTATAGCTCCCTCCCTGGCATTGCCTTCAGTGGGAAGCTGATGCTCACCAGAGTCAAAGTGTCTCTCCTGTGAACAGTGTTTCGAAGGCTCAGCCAAGTCCTGCATCCTGGGGCCCTCCCCCTGGAAAAAAAACCCATCCTTCCGAGCTGCCTAACCCTTCATTTAACTTTGAGAGGGACTGAGGTGATAGTTACATAAGGCTTCCTGGAAGAGGTAGGTCCTGATCTGTGTTTTGAAGGTTGAGTAGTTTTCCAGGTGGGAAGAATGCCAATTATCCGGTTTTACTCTTGGGGGCCAGCTTATTTGCAGGTTGGGGCATATTTCACCATAGCTAAATCAGAACTGACTTCAGTAATTACTGGAGTTGGCCAGGGCCTCTGTATCTGGAACTGTCCCCCTGGTTTTAGAGATGAGACAACTGAGGCCCTGACAGAGGTCCAAAGCCACACAGGTCAGTGGCAGAGCCTGGCCTTCCTAAACCCTTCCCCACTACAGGTGGCCTAACCTGAAAAGAGGGGAAGAGTGAGGCTGATGCCTGGCCTTTACCCAGCTCTGAAATGGGAATGATTCAGGGCACACCTCTGCTCCAAGATATGTTAACGAAAAAAAGAGCTATACTGTTTATGGAGCATCTACTACATGCTGAGCATTTCAGAAACATGGTGGGTTCATTGATCCCCACTTGACAGAGAAAATCAAATAGAGGCCCTGAGTGTTCTAGTTGGGTTAGGGGCTAATAACTCCTGGGGGGAGGGGCACTAACCAGCTTTGCAGACCCCCTTCTTTCCCACACCTCTGCCTCTCAGACTTGGGCAGAGAGCCCCACCCCCCACCCCCTCAGAGGGCCAAGGGAAGGTGGGCACCTCACACAGACATCACTAACCCGGCCTCTTTCCTTCCCTCCCGCAGAACCAGAGGGGTCAGGGGCAGACCCTGCCGGCATGGGCACCCCCAGCCTCCTGCGGGGCAAGAGGGGAGGATACGTCACCAGCTACCGGATCGTGACCCCCAGGAGCCGAAACGAGAGAGACTGAGTGTGGTGGTGGCCCCTTGGCGAGGGCCAGGCCAGGCTTCCCTTCCCAGCCTGGACTTGGCCAGCTGCCTCCAAGGTCCGCTACATCCGTATTTATTAATATCCTCAGGGTCCCTTCTGCCACCTAAGCCTTTGGGGTGGGCATGTCTTGGTCCTGGCAGCCCGTGCGCATCTGCCTCCTATGAGGCTGAGCCGGGACTGGAGCCTGAGAGGGAGGTGTGGTCCAGGCAAGAGGTGAGGCTTTGCTCAGGGCCCTGGGCCTCAGTTTCCCTCTGTGAAATGGGGTGATGCAGGCCTGTGGGGAGGGGCAGCAGGTTTGGAGCGTCTGTCTTCTCATCAACTGCCCGGCCATCCAGGCCCCAAGCAACTGAGGGAGTTAGAAGCTGGGGCTCTGCCCAGCCCTCAGCACACCCAGGGATGATGAGGGCGGGCAGTCTCACCTCCCCACTCCCCAGCCAAACCTGGGGAGCCCACCTGTACCACTCGTCTCCTTGTTTTCTGGTGCTGGGTTCCTGGCCCTGAGGTCAAACTACCTGATCTGACTGGACATTCAGGGCTCCTTGTCTCAGTTCTGACCCCTGAACCCTCAGTCCTTCTCATGTCCCAGGCGGAGGGGGCATGGAGAGGGAGGGGCCACCTGCTCCCACAACGGCTTGTGACAGACACCAGGAGGTAGATGTGTATCGGCCAATAAAGGCCCCCAGCCTCACTGCCCACCGGCCTGGTCTCAGTGTGTGCTTAGATGAGGGGCAGCCAGGCAGGGCCAGCAGCCTCTCTTCTCAGTGGCCTTCACTGTCCACCTGCAAAGCACGACTGTGAGGCCAGGGCTCCCCTGGCCATCACCTGGGCAGCTGGGGAATGGGGGTAGGTGAGAAGAACAGAGGCTCAGGCCATCCCCACCCCCTGGCCAGGTGTCCAGCAGGAGCTACCAGACCTCGGGGCAGCTTCCCTTCTCTGATCCTGTTTCCTCACCTGTAAAATGAGACTGATAGTGTAGTCCTCAGGTTTCCCAGTCTGTTTCTGGCCCCTGGCTGGTGACCAACAGCAGGGTCGGTCTCTGCAGCCCCTCCACTCTGGCCCTGGCCTGGGGTACAGCCTCACGCGTGACCAGAGCACAGGCCAATCCGGGGCCTACAGCCGCCTGTACTGCCCCTCAAAGTCCAGCTTCCTGGCCCCTCTGCCTTGCAGAGTTCCCACCGGTGACTCACACCCATGCCCCACCCTCTGCCCTCTAGGCTCTGGCTACACCTCCCCTCCCTGGGAGGGGGCAAGGACTGAGAGGGGCCAGGAGGGAGGAGCTGCTTCTACAAAGCTGAGGAAGCTTCTCCCCCACAGCACGCCCACATAGCTTCCTGCCCCCGGCCCCGCCCC